ATTGGAAACAGTATGCGGTTGTCAGAAAGTAGGTTATTTTCTGAACAGGTAGTCAAAATTGTTTCCCCATTTGGAAGATCCTTATCAAAAGAAGTTACGGAGGCTTCTTCATTAAATTTTCTTATGTAATAGGTCTCCTTATCTCTCTATTCTTCCAATTAAAATTTGTAGCACTTGTTATAATATTTCATTTCCCCGGAAGACATAATACCTTGTATTAACAAGATTGCAAAAATGAGAATTTTCAGGATTAAAAAGAAAAATAGTAGGACGTAAGAATGATATGAAATAAATTTGGATCAATTTTAATTTTTCAGATAATGAATTTAAGAAAACGCTTTTAAGAAATGGGATATGTATACCTCATTAGATGAAGTAATATTTCTAACATTGGATTTTATAATGTATTGTATTCAGAAACTAATTACTAATTGCCTTATTCAAATAATTTAGATAACGAGGCAATTCTATCACAAAACTGCGAGGAGTTAAGTTGAAAGCCAAAAAACTTTAATTTTTTAAATTTATTTAAAAAAAATAATAATAAAGATCAAAATAATAATGGGTATCTTTTAAAGTGGGGCAAATTTAAGTACTTTATAACTTTGGTAAGTGATGACTCGTTTCGAAAAAAAAAATTCCGGCGTTCTTGTATAGATCATTATTTTAGAACTATGACACTTTAGTATAAATAGAACTCGTTTTGCATTGAATTTACGGGATCCTTTCTTTATTAGCATCTATTTTATAGTAAAGTTCATTTTTCGAAAATAAACTAAACAGATTATAAATAAGTAAAATTCAGTATTAAATAATAAAACTATTATTACAGAAGAATAATTTTATCATTAAAAAAAATTCGCACTCAGTTCAAAAAGTTTTTTTTTTTCAGATTTCAATTGTTTAAAATAAATTTAAGTTCTTACATTAAGTTATTACATTCCTCAAAAATCTTCTGTAGGAGCTAAAAGTTAAGTTTTGTTAACCAAATATTGTGATTTATTGTTTATTTATCAATTTTTTATTGTTTTTACTTTTTAATAGATTTAGTTTTTTTATATTAAGAGCTAATTTATTGCATTAGGATAATGTTTCTTATGTAAGGAAATAAACTTAAATGTCTATCAATTCCTCAACCTGTTTTGAAAAATTAAAATTTTTAAAGCATAAAAATCATATTTATTTTCTACCACTTTTTAAACAAAAAACTAAATTATAAATAATTAGCTACATGCTAAGCTAAAGCGATTACTTTCTGTTATATGTTGTTAAATACTTCTTTAAAACGTTAGCTCGAAGCTAACAAGAAACGAAAAGTGTAGTGATTCTTATAGAGCAAAAGTTCATTTCATTTAATATCTCACTTTTGCTTTAAAAAAAAAAGTAGTGAAGCAGAGATACCAACTGCTCCGTACACGCCAAAATATTAATAACAATGGCAGACAACTACATTATTTTTGTTTGAATTTCAAAAAGCATAGCAAGACAATTGTTCTTTATTATTTTATTTATAAACAATTGGGCACCTGGGCTGCGCAGCGGCCCCTATCACATACATCTAGAAATTTACATAAGTTCAAAGTGATAACATTTTGATTTTTGCAGTCGATGTGGTCGCTACAAAATTACAAGCACTTTGCTTGGGAAACAATTGTTTAAAGAAGTGATGAATTATATAAAACTACGAATTATTTAGAAGTAGTGGTGGATAAAAATCTACTAAAATGAATTTATTAAAAGAAGAATCACAACTGATAAACTACCACTTTAAAATATATATTTGCTGTCCGGAGCAAACTGTCATCTCTGTGTAACGTGGTTACTAGCCGAAATAAATATTATATGTAGTTTAAATAAAGCTGTGAAGCAACAAAATGCCTTTTCTTTTTCTTCTCTTAATATATTATAAATGACACTTTGTGTATAAAATACACAGTCGTTTATTTTTTCGCAACGACAATTACTTTTTTGTCAACTGAAATATTAACAGAATCATTTCTAAAGAATTATTTTAATAATTCAAAATCTAAAAGGATAAAAATTCTATGAAAATTTTCAATGGAAAAGAATGATTTATATTACTTGTCGATGCATTTACTGATTTGCTAAAATAAATACACGAATGAATTTAAAAAAAAAAATTGTTAGCGCTGCCAATTCGTCCAAGCATGTTTACTAAAGTGATAATTAGAAAACAAATTGAAATAATAAAATTTTTTAAAAAAATGTTCATAATCTACGTTTTTCACACAAACTGTATTTATGAAAATAATTTTATTTTTGTCTTACCTAAAACAAAAAAGCACGTAGAGAAAGTAATTTCAGACGCAACTTTATTGTGAATTAATACTACCCATGCTTTTTCTTTTTTGGTGAGAGAAAAATAATACTATTTTCTGTTATTAAAAAATCGTTGTCCATTGATTTGGATGACGGTTATTAGGATGGTTATAAATAAATTGTCGTTTGAAGTGGACTATAAATTAAAACTTAATTAAATAGATTTTAAGCAATTTGTTTTACTCTATTTTGAGAAAAATACACCTATAATTGTTTTCTATGCAAATCTGATGAAAAAGAGTTTGTTTACGGGCAAAAATGACTGGCTACAGCTCAAAATTATTTCTTAATTTTAGTGTACAGTGCGAACCCTTATATTTTTTAAATTATTGCTCAGATTTTAATTCTGTAAGGTGCTATGGCAATATCTTGTACGAATGCTTTAAATATATTAGGACAAAATTACGGAAACGCTTCTATACTATCGCTACGTAAGCAAATTTTTTTTACAAGCAATTGTTTTTGAGGACTGTGCATGGCAAAACTGTTGACACAATTCGTAAAACTTTAATCTTTTAGAAATGGGGTCCTTTTCGCTAGAGCAAAATTTGCATTGACAAAAACGATCGTAGAAAGTTAAAAGCTTTTTTATTTTTATTTTCAATATGACACTATAATTTAAAAAACATTCTTATATAAATATTTCAATCCTATAGGATAGTTTGAAAACTGCTGGTAATAGAACTAGAAAGAAGTTAATTAGCTTCCTCTTCTCATTTCGGTCGATTCAAATTTTGAAGATTTTACATGACAAAACTGTTGACGCAATTCGCAGCTTTTTAAGCTTTTAGAAATGGGTTCCTTTATACGCATGCGAAATTTGTCTGGACAAAAACGAACGTGGAAAGTTAAAAACGTTTTCTTTTTTTTAACCATTAGAATATCACTATAATTTAAAAAGCATTCTCAAATAAATATTGCAATCCTGTAGGTTAGTTATAAAACTGATAGTATTAGAACTAAAATAAATTAATTAGCTTCCTCTCCTCCTTTTGGTTGATTCGAATTTTGAAGATTTTACATGGCAAAATTGTTGACACAATTCGCAGCTTTTCAAGCTTATAGAAATGGTTCCTTTATACGCATGCGAAATTTGCCTGGACTAAAACGAACGTAGAAAGATAAAAGCGTTGTTTTTTTTTTTTTTTTTTTNTATAACATCATTTGAGTACCATTATAATTTAAAAAGCATTTCCATATAAATATTGCAATTCTATAATATGAATTCTGAACTGCTGGCATTTTAGCTAAAAAGAAGTTATTAACTTTCCCTCCTCACATTTATCGATCCGAATTTTGCATGGGTAAAAACGGCATAACTTGTAAAAAAGCTGCAAGCAGGATTTTTTAAATTGTTCCAACAGATTTGCCATGTAAAATCAGCCATGACATTTATTGCTAGAAGAAAGATTGTTTGTATAGAGTAAGCATAGAAGTGTTTCCATTATTTTGTCCAACCTCAAGTTCTGTAGTTAACTGTAGCTTTCGCTTACATCTTAACTGTGTATCGATTTTATGTATTTTAAATAGTAAAGAACACAAATGCATAGACATTAAATTTTAAACTGCTTTTTTTTAATAATTGTTTGTTTAACTGAGCATGTTTTCTTTTGGACCTTGAGCCTTTAAGCCACATATTCAATTCAATTAAGTTTCATGGTTGAAAACTAAACATTCTTTTTTAAATGCTTAAAATGCATAAACATACTGTTAGACTTTAAAATGTTTTGTTCATAAGCATGCACGTAAGCATTAAATTTTTTTTGTAAGAGTCCCATAATTATGCACATCTACATTGTCTCAAATATGCACTCATTCAAGGCCTCAAGGATGCTATGTTGTTTATGTTTCTAATGGTACTTGGACAAGTCAAGCTCGTCAGCCGTTGGGAAGAAAGGGAGCTTTTCGTTTGATAAGAGACCACCACTAAGGTGAAAGTGCGAGGTAGCTCAGAACCATAGTAGAGATGCATCACTTAATCATCAGACCCCTTCAATATAGACATGGATCTGAAGGGAAATGAAATTATCTCCATATCCATGTACTGCTCAGAGATCAACCACAGGACTTTCAGTTCCATAGATTTTACAAGAACGTATATCGCATATACTTGGTAGATGTCAGAGGCGTTGAGGATTGAATCCAGACCCCTCCAGACCAAATTCGATGCTAAACACTGGGCTATCATAGCCCTATGATATGTTTTTGCATTACTTTAAATAGATATCAGTTTGTTGACTACGTTCAATCCCTTTGTGATTTTTTCGTATGGATTAATTTTTAGTAGTTCAGTAAGTCAGAGAGCAACTTCCGTCGTTCCTCTCCAGTTCTTTATCTCTTTATTATATTTAAATTAGCAGTACTTTTTGTGTAAAAAAAGTAGTCATATATTTTTTTAAATATTGATTGTAAATCTAGAAAGCGTATCACAATTACAAATAAAATCATGTTGATGTTTGCCAAATTCAACTGGAGCATGAATTATTTGATTACCAGTACAAAAAAAATAAAAAAAATATTTTTTTCTGAAATTATACTGCGGGATCCTACGTTAAGATTATATAATATCATAAATAGTGAATACTTATAATTTACTTAAATATTGTAAGTGATGCCTCAAATGTATGTTGCAATGTATAGTACAATTATTCTTTTTATAGGTACTGCAAGAATAGAAAAATGAGGAAGTCATCTGTCTTTGTCCACTATTTAATGTTTTTTGTGATATGCATAGTTACTTTCGAACCAATTCTATGTGGAGAGTATTCTGAATATCCTTCATACGAATCTAAGTATTAATATTTTTTCTTTCCTCGTTACTTAATCTTTATTGTTTCATTTAAAACTTTGTGTGCAAAATGTTAAAAAATATATTTCCTCTACTATATATTTGTTAATTACGTATTTTTAATAAATTTATAATTTACCACGCATTCCGAAGAAAGAATTATTTTTTCCTTCGAGAATACCACTATACAAACTTAATATGAACCTCTATCACTCGTTCTCGTATCTTTCGTTTTCCGTATGTATTGTTTTGTTTTGTCGGTTCATGCTATTCTAATAAAGTTAATGATACCCGATTAGATCGTTTCTGAAACTAAAAGATTCTCGTATATTCTATGAGAATTATTTGACATTTTATGTTGACAACGCATTCGTCATTTTCCCGTACTTTTCGTTTACAACGAATAGTCCCTTGAGAAACGATCAAACGAGGTTCCACTGCTCCAAAATCACAAAATGTTATGAGCCCAGATGGCTCAGTAATTACGGCATTTAGAATTGTGTAATATTGGGATTCGATTCTCCTCGCCTATTCGAAAGAAAAAAATCTGACTTAAATTGATGGGTGATAAAGTTGTCCGGCTTGAAAAATAAAGTTGCCCGTTCGCAAATGCTAACCGCATTCCCACAAACATGATATTTGTCTCAAAGTTACAGAGCCTTTAGTTCCATGATCCTTCATGCCATATACTGGTAATGCTTTACATCTTATGTTATAACAAATTAGTTTTCTTATATAGGAATGGAATTTAAATGTCAAGCTCCAAATATCTACTTCATTTTTTTGCTACTTTTCAAATTCACTTTTTGATTTCAAACTCAATTTCGTTTCAAACAAATATCAAAGCAAGATGATGTTCGAAATTAAATTTTTTTTCCCAATCTCCTACAAAAAAAATATCAGTAATATCTCATTTTAAGATAAATATCAATATTTTTGAACCATCTTCTATATATCACCTAAATATCCCTTATATATTGATTTTCAAACTGTATTCTCAAAATAATCATTGAAAATATGGGAAAAAAATTGTATTAATAACTGCAGCCGAAGTGATGCTACGAAATCACGGAGATGTCAGATATTGCATAACAGAGTTTAAAAACCGAAATTATAAGATTTTCTGCACATCATCAACCATAGCCCAGCATCTTGCCTTATTTTTAAGGCTCTATCTTTCAACGACCATGATAGAAATACCAAGTAATTTTGGTTCTGGTCAGACGGGGTGGACCGCGCCTGAGCTGTCACTCCTCTCTCCGAACTTCCACACCACAACATTTCTGTGAGAGGAATCTTTGTTCTAAGAATGTTAAATTGAAAGTTAAAGCAGTCAGTTTTCGAATATTCGCATGGAAATTTCACTACCAGTTTTTTAGTTTTTTGAAAAAGCTCGTCATGCTAATTTAGTTTTTATGTTGCTTAGCACTAAGTTTAACACGATCACGCCGGGGTGACCCACCGGTGGGTCACGCTAGATTGTCTCATCTTGGCAGCGCACCGGAGTAAAAACTGGTAACAATAAATTTCATTTTTTAGTTTTTTTCTGGGAATAATAAAAAAAAAATCCATAACTACCAATTGTTTTTAACGGATGCAATTTTCATATTGAATTGCTTCTTCGCCGTGATAAATTTCCTTACAGTGAATTGTTATTGTTGAGAATAGATTAATTCCTCCCGAATATTATCTAATATTGAAATAGTTCTTCTACCAGTTTTTTCTCTTTTCCCGTACAAGTATTTTTCACTTTTCCCGGCGTGAACGTGTTAATTCCACCTCATAGACTGCTGAACTGAAACTGTCTTTTATTTTAACTTTATATACTATTTCATGATGTATGGGATATGGGCCTTCTGCGCGGCCCAGAGGTGCCCAATTTTTTATAAATAAATAAAGAAAGAAAGAACGTGTTAATTTACTGCGACTGGGAAAAACATTGTTTAAAAAATGCAAATTGGCAGTTATATAAGTGACTCAGTCTGGTTTTTCTTTCTTTTTCAGACAGTATGAACATCACCACCATGATTATCATCCACCTGCCAAGAAAGGTGCCAACATAGATATCAACATTCCATTCGACATCCACACTCTGGCTAAAATGGGACTCCTAGGTTTGACTAAGCTGAATCTTCTGTTGGCCTTAGGAAAAGTAGCTGGCGCTAGTCTTGGCGTGTCGGCACTCGGTCTAAGCAAACTAGGGAAAATAGCTCTCCAAGTCGGGGGGCATGGTCATAAGGGAGGAGGAATCGCAATTGACATTGGTGCGCCACATGCCAAGTCACACTCTCATTACGAAGAGAAACATTACGTTCCTGAAGAGAAACACTATTGAAACTGCTAGTTTTTAATATTTTGTAATTATAGACTTATAATTCATTTAGTTTTTTAAAAACATCGTGCGTTTTGTAGAAACTACAACTGACGCCAAAGTGAGTGAAAGTGAGAAGATTTAAACGGGATTGTGACAACCCATTCGTGCCCAGCATTCTTTTAAAATGACGTTTATTTCCCTAAAAAATTGATTCAGTCGGACAAAGGTTTTAGCATAAGATTTATTTCAACCAAAGCAATATGTTTACCGTAATATCTTAATGATATAGTTATTGAAACTAATGTCAAGGCATAGTACTGTTTCAAAGTTGATTGTTGAAAGAAACATCCATTTAGTTTAAACAAAATGCACATTTCCATTTTTTTTTTTTGGCCACTTTGTATGGCTGAGCATTAATGGGTTAACTACATTGATGTCATAGAATGAAAGGATGATTTTATTGCGAAGTTTGTAGAAATTTAATGTGAATATTTTTTGAAAGATAGCTTAATTTGAGCTCCTGAAAAATCAGGCTAAGTAAAACGTAAGACTCAAACAAAGTAAAGCGCATTAAAAAAGCTTGAAATGCGTGATTGAAAAAATGAATGTTGCTCAAAATGCACTTTTAAGACAATAAACAACCAATGTATAGCTGCCAACTTGAACGGCCGTTGAGAAATAATTTTCTTACTGGTAGCAACATTAGCGTTTTGGCGTATTAAATCTTGAAGTTTATAGTTTATAAAAAGTTTTAAACTACCACGACGAATCAATAATTTAAAATTATGTGTAAATGAGATTAATTGATTGCTAGTTATTCTAATAGGCCTACCTGCCAACTCTCCCAAATTTTGCGGGAGATTTTATTTTCATATTTAAAGTGGTAGTAAATATATACTATTTTTTCTTGAGACTGCGAAGATATNTAGTGTAAAATCCTTATCAAAATAATGATCAAGACCCAAATGTAAAACAGTATAATTGACGATAAAAACTCAACTGGCTTCAAAACATATGAAGAGGGAAGTAAAAGTCGACATGTTTCGAGTTTTCAAATATAATCGCCCATTCAATGGAAGGGATTAAAAGTTGGCAGGTCTGTAATAGGTGTCTTAATAGTTTCGATTTTAGAAACTTCTTCTAAACTTAATGGTTGTTTTACTACAACTTTGCTAAATCGTTTTCAACGACCGTACAAGTTGATTGGTTTGCGTGTTTTAAAAGAATTAATTAATGAATAATGTTTATTAGTGAAGTATTAGGTTTCACGCGGTTTCTGTATGGATCTTAGACGTTTTCACGACCAAGATTATAAATCTCCATTTGGTTTCTCTCTATAAGATGAAGTTTTTATGCAATTTAATAATATATTCCTAACCAAACGAGAAACTATTAAGTGGTAGAAAAAGGAGACAATACATTTCAGTTTATGATGCGATATGTTTGCTCATATATTTTCTTCTTCTTCGTCTAAAGTGCTATTTTTAAAGGAACGGATAAGCGTACATTCAGACAAAAAATAAACTAAACAAAAAACATCACTTTGAAAAAAAAATCTGTAGCTTTCCGAGCAAAACCAATTTCAAATTTGTGAACTTCACACCCAAATCAAGTAAGATCAAGTAATCGCAAAAATGCAAAAAAAAATTTGTTCACCAACGTTATTCATAGAGAATAAAATACAAAATATAAAAAGCGAACTTTCTTATCAATTCGAAGCTTGCCTTCATATTATTAAGTGCTAAAAATTGGTTTAATGTGTTTTAATAGTGTTTTAATTTATGAAGTGTTTTAATATTAAAAAGGTGCATTCGGTTTCATTAACTCGCATTTCGAGTTATATTCACTTTCCAAACGCGCATTTCGAGCACTGCCCATTTTATAAACAGACGTTTCAAGTTGTAACCGTTTTCTTAAAAACGAATTTCATCAAATTATAATTTCCAGAATAAAAGAAAATATGTTTGTGATGGGTTAAAAAAAAAAAGAAGTTAAACGTACTTCTCATTAGCATATATTTACCTTCCCATTTCATATCTACAACATAACCAATGTGATATTTCCTATTGAGCATTTTAACTCAATCTTACTTATTATAGATTTGAAATTAGTTATCGCATAAATTAGCTAAGTTATTTTGCTATTATCCCTGTTTCATTTATCAATTTTGTAAATAAGTGTGTATTATAAAATTTGTCTTCATTATTCAGTTGTACGGAAAGTACTGAGACTTTTCAGTGTAAAGTACTGTTAAAGGTTCAGAACCTATAATACTTATTACTTTGAAGAGTTAAACTGTTGCAATCATGTAATAAAAAATCGTGTAAATAAAATTTTACTGGTGCTTGATATTTCTTATTGAACTTTATGGACATATGCCTATTTGTTTTTTACACCATACGAAATTATAATATAAACTACGGTTCCCCTTTTTTTGCTATGATGGAACCCTAAAAGATCAAACTTCTTTCGGGGGAACCATGGCTTATAAATAAAGTTCATTAGCAAGTGTGTACAGCTAACTAAAGAGAAAGTAAACATATTGAGAAATGTTAATATGAAAAATGAATTATTTTTTTTTCGTTGTTTCAGCAATAACTATCTCAAGATTTGGTTTTATGTTAGTCAGTTGAATTCGCAAGTCTGCACGGCTTTAAGTAAAGTAATTTTAGACGTATGCATAAATCAAAGTGAATAAAATGAGCTAAATTATGGTTTTTGAAAAAGAACTACTATAAACTGAGAGATCGTTTATCAGAGAAAAATAATTCTTTATTCTTGAAATTGGTCGTTTTATTTTGAATTTTAAATTCGATGAGAAATACGAATTCAATACAATTTGGAAATGCATCATTTTAGTAATTCATTCAATATATTGTTATTGGGGAAAAAAATTAAGTTTGTTATTTCTTTTTATATTGACATTTTGCTTAAATAATTTCACGAAAATAACCTAAATATTAAACAAAAAAAAAGCGATTATTGGTTGAATACAAACCTATTACAGGATTCAAAAATAACTGTTGGTAATAGAAAAAAAAAGAGTCCTAACTTATGGAACCCCTGTAACCTTTCCACGGAAAATTAGGGTTCCGCGGTAAACCTCTTGGGAACCGCTGCAGTAGATAATATATTCAATGAGATTTTTACATGGTTTGTAAGAAAGTAATACCCGAGACCAAAAAAATAAAAACTTCAGATGGAATTTATATCCTTTTTATAGATACGTAGCCCATTTTTAAGTAGTATTTCAATTAAAATACATTTAGCCATGATTCTTGATTTAACTCTTTTATTTATCCCATTTATTTCTAGCATCCTTTTACTTCTAAGAAAAATTACAACCGCATACGTAAAACATCTATAGAAATACTGTAGTTATAAGAATTAGTCATATAATATACAGGATATTGTTATTGGCAACTAATGCGTAAAATGTACGAATACAATATTCATAAAATAGTGAATATTGCGTTAATTTAATTTTCTTAAAAAATAATTATTTGCTGTTTATAATTATTTTTTTGCCTTTTGAAACATTTGCGGTTCACTAATGAACACATTTTGAACAAAAATATCGCATAACTCTTTTAAAGCGAATGAAACGGAATTAAGCTAATGTAATTGGTACCCATTGTGCATTAATAAGTTTTTCTTTTTGGAACTTTTAGTGCTTAGCCATTTGACGCAGAATTTTTATTAAACACATTTTTCATACTTTTTTCATTATTTTGTATTAATTTAGGTCAAAATCCGTGGAAAATATTATAGATTAATATATTACTTAAAAAAAAAACTATGATTATGAAATACAACACGAAACACCAGTGACTTTTTCTGCGTTACCTAGATTGCTTAATTCTAAACAATAATTTTTCAAATTTGCACTTATTTGCTGTTAGGATAACATATCAACAGCTATTCATTATTGAAATTTCTTTAACATTCAAAATCAATAATTTATAAATTTTTGAATATGAATGAAGTAAAAAAAAACTTTTCAAATTTCTTTTTTTGGATTTTGTGTTTTACTACAAATATAATTCCGACAATCTGATAGATATTTTTAGTTACTATAAGACTGTTTTCTGTAATTATAAAATATCAAAATATATTATTGCTTGTAATTAGAGCGTCAGAGAATAGCAAATATGTAAGGAGGACACTAGCGTCAAAGGGTTAAATAAAAAAACGGTAGCACTTTTGTACTATTAATTCTTTTATTCCGAGTATATTCTCCACATCCAAACAATAAAAATATAGATGAACAGTGTACAGAAACAGGGTGGGGAATAAGTCGGAGATTTTCTTGGAGAAGTCTGTAGCCTTCCTGAAATAAGCAAAGAAAAATTATGTTTGCGACAGTGCTATAAGCAGGGTAGCTACTTATCCGGAAAAATTGGTATTAGGACATTTTAGTTTTTCTTTCAGGAAAAGTATACTCACTAAAACTACCAAGTGAAATTGCATATTTCTTACACCTGTAGCAGGGATGTCACTGTTCCGCTTAATACAATATATTGATTATTTTAATATGCTTATTGAATAGTAAAGCTAGTGGAATAAGAATAATTGCACACATTCTTTAACCTCCTCGAGACGGGGAGTCATATAGGCATTCTGAGGCATGGGTGAAAGCCCTTATATAGCAAGACGGAAAAGAGAAAAACCTGGTAAGCAAAACATTTCATTCCAGCATTTTTTTCGAAAAAAATGAAATATCTGTAACTATCAAGATTTCTTTTATATATCTGGCATATATATAAAACTGCTTCTTTTCCAAGAACAAGTAGATATTGTTCAAAAATTTAAAAAAAGAATAAGTAAACTCCTCTCCAAAACTAGCTATAACTGAAATGGTTTTACTACCAGCCTTTCCTCTTTTCCGTCTCGCTTTCACCCCTGTTCTGAGGGTGGTGGCAATTAGGGTAAAAAATATATCTGGTAGGAAAAATATTTCTATATCAGTATATTTAGGGAGAGGAGTACAGTAATAACAGTTTCATTTGCTTAATATACCACTACTTAATTCAAAATAAAAATTATATTCTTAAGCATTGCACCTACGTTGATTAGCTTTTCTATTACATACTTGCTAATTCCTCCGGATTTTCGAGAAGATTTTATTTTCATATTTAAAGTGGTAGCAATACTCAGGTTATTCCAATTAACTCTTTGAATTATAATGATAAATATATAAAAGCATAATAATCCTTGCGCAAGCGAATTTCAACGGGATCAAAACATACATATATTTTTGAGTCAGATTGTTTTACAACCACTCTGAAAATCCGTTCTCGGAAAGATTGAGAGATATTTCCTTTGAGATATTTCGTGATGAATGAGATAAGGGCCATTTTGTCCTCAGATGCCCAGTTCTACAACTACGAACGAACGAACATTGATTAGCTGTGTTAAATTTAAATTAAAATTAAGACTATTAAGTTAGAAAAAATAAGCCTTGACCAAACATAAGCTAAAGCTTTTTATTTATTTCCATCCTGAATCTGGTTCCCTACGAATACATTTATGACTCGCCCGTCCCGAAAAGGTTAAAATATCGCATAAGTTGTATTTCATAAGATACTTTGAATGTTTGATATGTAGGGGTGGAAAATTACTTATAAGGAATAATACCAAACGTTTTTTTTTTAAGGTCATCAGTAACAAACCACTATGAACGTAAACCAATCAAAGATAGAACCATTTAATATGAAATCTATTAAAAATTAGAAAGTGGTAGCAAATATATGTTTAAAAATTTGTTTAATTTATAATTATAATTGGTTTGTCTTGGTTACTTGTCAACCACTACAGATTCAATTCTCAAATATATATGATAAATTTCTATCAAATACTTTTAAAATAGAATTCGGGTTCACAAGTGATTCGCTTTTTAAATAATCTGCGCAGACTACTTATAAGAAACTGTGTGGAGGCTTATGTTGACATAGATCAAAGCGAAAAAGAAAGAAAAATATGGTAGTAAAACCTGACCAGTCTTGATTTTTTTACAGGAAGAGTAAAATATCCGCGACTACGGAGATTTATCAACAGCACAGCCACCCCATAGACTGCTAAACTCAAACTGTCTTTTATTTTAACTTTTTATACTATTTCATGATGCTTGGGATAGGGGCCTTCTGCACGGCCCAGGTGCCCAATTTTTTATAAATAAATAAAGAAAGAAAAGATTTATCAACAGCTATGATAAAAATTGCTCCGGGGTACAAATTTTTTGTTGTATTTATACAATTACTTATAAATTTTACCTAAATTGGGTGTGGGGATTTAAAATCTGTTATAAGTTTTGCTCGAAAAGATACTGACTTTTTTTTTAAATCAAAATTATATTTTTCGTCCGTTTTTCATTGTCCATTTTCTAGACTTGGGAGACTTAAAAGAGAATTTATTTGAAATAAAAAACAAAAAGTTGCCAACGAAAAACGGAAAAATAAAGGTGAGAAATCAAACTAGAAAAATCGCAATAGACGAGAGAGAAAAAAGACGAAAAACAGAATAAGAAAAACCACAATGGTCGAGAGGAGCAAATCAGGGTAAAAATGCATTTCCACGTGCCATAGAGTGATGGTGAGAAACTAATGTTGTTAACAAGGGAAACATTCTTATGAATGAAACAAGATTCCAGGGCATTTAGATGAGCTGATGTGACTGAGGTGGAAATAATTTTGGTATTATCAAAATTGAATATAGGCCAGCTGTTGAATTTGAAACGCTGGAAACATGTTGACTGTTATTTGCTTATACATATTTATATATTTTTGAGTGAAGGAAGATTATAAGCAGGTAATATTTTACCACTTCCATTTCTTAGGATTATTTATTTATATTTAACTTTGTTTCTGCTTCCTTGTGATGAATAAGAAATATATGAATAACATTAATTACATAAATAATATGGTATAGGTAAGAATAACGTAAGAAAAGAAATAATAAAAAAAATAATTAAGAAAGAGATTTATCCCCTTAGTAAATTGACCACTAACGTAATGCACCTCAAATGATAAACTGGCTTCACTGTATTAAAATTTTTTGTCCAATTTCGCTTAGTTGTCAGTTTCGTTAGTTTTTGAGTAAAGGAGTGCAAATAAATTCAGTTACATACAACTTACTACAATTTTTATTCGAAATTTTTTTTTCAACACATGACTGAATACACAAAAGTCAATTTAATGCATCTAGTTTTCTTGTTTCATAAGAAAGAGATTCTGACTTTAATTTCTTTTTCTCGTTAATGTTGTGAAATTTTAGATGTACCTTCTCTCAGCATCTAAACAAGATATTGCTTCAGTTTTTTTTTCACTGAATGTTTACATATATACATTACATTGTGATAACTGTTAAGACACATCTATGGTAGACAATTTTTAAAAAAAAATGATGACCTGACAACTTTTAATTTTTAAAAAGTTTCATCAAAAATCTTTCATAACTCAAAAAGTGTTTCTGTTAACGCTAAAACATTATCACAGCATACAACTAATATAATTTTAAATATTCCCAAAAAATTTCAAAACGATATGATAAGTAGTTTTTTTTAGAAAAGGTACACCGAAAAAGATCAGAATTAGCATTATACATATATACCGACTCCCTTTTAAGAACAATATCTTGGAGATTCAATTATAATTTGAGAAAATGCATCATCAATATTATTTCATAAATTGACAAAATTTATAATCAGTATTATTTTGAGAAACCTGACAAAATTAATAATAAATGTCATTTTAAAAATTTAATAATCAATTGCAATGCTAGTAAATTATCTGCTAAAATTATTTGAAAAATTTTAATTGTTTTGAAAGAGGAAAATAAATAGTAATCAAATTAAATAATAAGTAGTTACTAGAATTAAATACTTACTCACTGTATCGGCTTCGGAGAAAAGATGGTATCCATTTTTAACAATTCTCTCGATGCTTAAAAAAATATTTTACACATTTTAGTACAATTAATTAATATAATAATATAGTTTACAGACATAAAAATCAAAAAAAATTTCTATATAAATTGTTATTACTAAGGACTTAAAAATTCCCAACTCCATAAAAAGTTAATAAGATAAATAAATGTCATGATAACCCCGAGGAGTAAATTCTTTGTTGCATTTTTACATGTTGTTGTTTCTAATGCCACTTGCCAAATACCAGCATGCCTGCTTGGTAAAACCAAGCGAATTTAAAAAGGAGGGGGTGTTTCTTGTTTATAAGTGGCGCCATATACGGCCAATAATACAACTTCAGCCACACACATACAACACAACCCATTTTTAAAGAGCGGATCCATTCATTCATTCACAGATCGTGATTTTGACTTGAACCAAAGAACGAACAATCTCCAATTCAGTACCCCCAGAGGTCTAATTTGTTACAAAAACTAAGAGGACTTTGTGGTCCCGACAGGTTTTACGTGCACCGGTCTCCATTTACTACACGGTGAGTCTTCGGCCGTATGGAATCGAACTCACTACCACTTTTACACCGAAGGCCCTACCTACCAGGCTTACCGGGCACACATCTTTATCTGTACTTGACCTTACCTAATTCGAGAGTGGGTATTTCAAACCTGTTCGTAAAGTTACAATTTTTGTCAAAATGATCTTTTTAGTTTGGTTTGTTTTCGTCTGAATGCATTATAAAGAACATTTAGAATATATAGATATTGTTTGTATATATATACAAGCATGTACACTTGTCTGCTTGCCTAAAAACGAAATTTAAGACAAAAAACACATGAACATGAGACACTAAATTATCGCATCATAAACTGAAGCGTATTATCATTTTCTACCTGCCACTCCCTACGTAGCAAAGAAGAGGAGAGACTTAGCATTCCCTCGAATGAATTGATTTGGACTATATTATTGACTTGCATAAAAACTGTAACTTGTAGAGAGAATTCAATTACAGATTTGAAATCAATGACTCGAAAATGTCTAAGAACCGTTCAAAAATCTCCTGCAACAGAAAATAAATAAATTTGCCCTCCCCAACAGTATAATGAATGCGTTAATTATTCCATAAACAGGAAACCCAATTATTCATCAAAAAGGCTTTAGATGTTGTGTAAACGCAAACCTTTCTACAAAATTTCGTATTTACTAAAGTTTCCGGTAGACCTTTTTCTCCTGGCTGAACTTGGTTTAAATTATCACAGCACATAAATAGTTTGACTACCTACAGAAAAGTATGGCTAGTAATAAACAGAAATGTCTAGTTGTCAGTTTGTATTGTACTAATGAAAATGTAAACAGAATTTTGCTGCTCCTGTTCATTAGAACACTTCAACGAAATCAGTCGAATTATTCTTGAGATCTGAAAATGTAAAAATATGACATTTTTGGAAATTTCTTGAAATTTTATCTCTTGTTATTTTAAATTTCAAAACTTAAAATGCCAAACTACTATTCTTAAAAAGTATGAAATTTCAAATACAAATTTTATAATTGTGCTCAAAAAGTTTTTGATCCACTCAAATGATATTCCCTTGGTACAGCGAAGTAGGCGATAAGTGAAATTAACATTAAGGGGCCAAAAACTTTCAACTGTTCTCCTGACTGAAACTATCGGTACTACATATCCCAATAGTTATAGTCAGGATAGCAGTCGAAACTATTCAGATTGCGACTACTACCTCCCATATGTTGCTGGTCCAAAATCCAAATTTGTCTTGGGAGAAAGGTATGTTTATTCAAGAAGATACTTTTTTTTCTGGGGGGGGGGGATGTATGACTTCGAAACTAAACTAATAGAACTAAATTAATAAAAGAGATGACAAACTGTTCCACTTTGTAAACAAATTTTCTCTACTGATAGAAAAATGTATGTTTTAGTGCAGTATTCTTGAATTAACCCGTTTCGTCCCTAATTTATATATTGAAATGATACAAAAAGTAGTTTTATGGAAAAGGCGGTATAATATATGATCGAAATTAATTGGTTTTTCTACTGTTAGAGCAATCAGAAAGTCATTTATTGATCAAAAAATACTTGCTCCTTATAATTCTAGATCTAATCAGAAATAACTAAATCCTCATGGTATCTGAAAAACTTTTAATTCACCCAGATAAATGAAAATTCTGAAAAAAGTTTCCCACCACAATGAATGTCTTTGAAAAAAGGAACTGTCCTAAATATGCGTTAACCGGTTAATAAATTTGCATTCAGTTATTTTGTTGAACAACTATATAAAAATTAAAAAGCACATGCAAAATAGCAATTTTTTTTGTCGTGTCTATGACATAGCCGAATCAAATGTTTCCATGCGTCTTGATTACTGCTTCTGCGATTTGCTTGATATTATCGTCATAAAGGTCAATCAATGACGGCAAGACTCCTATTTCTCTCAGATTAGCACTCATTGCTGGACACTCAAAGATGTGGCATGGCAAAATAGCAATGATGTCCAGTTATCATTTAATCACCTCAATGCTAAACCAACATGAAGAAAGGATCAGCTTCGCGCCCTCAAGCTCCCAGCTCCATATAAGTTCAAGTCCAATTATTTTTTAGTAAATCTTTCAAAGCTGTAACTTATTTATACAAAATGTTATACACCTCCATAAATATTCATCTAAAGTTGGAGTACTCGGCATTCCTGTAATTAGGTCTACTTCTTATTCTGGATCTAGTTGGAAAAGCGTGTTTAAAAAATGAACACAGTTTAAAAACCGTATTTAAGGAAATCTGCACAGGTCTTAAAGCTTGTTTGAAAAAATAAACACATAAAAAATACGCTTTTCAATATTCAATCGAAATTTAACAACAAAGTGAGGAATTTGTACTTAAACAATCTAAGCAAAATGATTACGGAACAAAGTCCTGGTCTTCGAGGTAGGAGGCAATATAGTCCTCTTCGTATTCAGAATACGAAACGATAGAGTGTTTTTTAACACGTTGAATGTCATGGGGGTCACCGGTGACCGACGAAGCCAAGATTATAAGTGACACATAATTCGAGTAAATGTTTAATATTTTTACATTATTATCGTTAGTAAAATGGTTTGAAGAAATTAATGCAATATAGAACACACAAAAATAGTTTTATTTACATACACAGAGATGCCAACTTGCTCCGGTCAACGAATAAGTATTTTCAAGTAGTAGTTTATTAATTGTGATTCTTGGTTTAATAAATTCAATTTAGTAGATTTTTACCCATCACTATTTCTAAACAATTTGTAGGCTTCTATAATTCAACACTTCTTCAATTATGCCATGCGAAACCTTTTAAAAAACTAGCAAAATTTGCCAAATTTGTAAATTTAGTTTCTAACATTGCTTTTAATTTTTTAGCACAGAATTTATATTAAACATATTTTTCCTACTTTTTTCATTATTTTGTATTAAATGAGGTCAAAATAAGTGGAAAATATATATTTTTCTTTTAATGGCGGGNTGTTCCGGACAACGAATAAATATTTTCAAGTAGTAGTTTATTAATTGTGATTCTTGGTTTAATAAATTCAATTTAGTAGATTTTTACCCACCACTATTTCTAAACAATTTGTAGGTTTATATAATTCAACACTTCTTTAATTAAGTCATGCGAAACCTATTAAAAAACTAGCAAAATCTGCCAAATTTGTAAATTTAGTTTCTAGCATTGCTTTTAATTTTCTAGCACAGAATTTATATTAAACATATTTTTCTTACTTTTTTCATTATTTTGTATTAAATGAGGTCAAAATAAGTGGAAAATATTACATTTAGCATTTTAATAATTTATCTTTATAAAATACAGCATGAAACACTGGTGTCTTTCGCTACGTTGAATGTAAAATTTTCTAAACACGGTTCACTTTCAAACAATGATTTTTTGAGTTTTCACTCATTTGAAGTTATTTTCAAATATAAGAGAAACAGCAATTCACTGAAAATTTTTTAGTTTACAAAATCAATTATTGATAAAATTTTGAATATGAATGAAGAAAAAAAAACTTCTCAGACTATTTTATTTGGATTTTATATTTTAGTACAAATATAATTCCGATATTCAGACTACTTTATTTGGATTTTATATTTTAGTGCAAATATAATTCCGATATTCAGACTACTTTATTCAGATTTTATATTTTAGTACAAATATAATTCCGATATTCAGACTACTTTATTTGGATTTTATATTTTAGTACAATATTTTAGTACAAGTTCCGATATTCAAACAGATTTTTTTAGTAATTATAAAACTGTTTTTTATAACTAAAAAATAGTAAAACATGTTTTTACTTGAAAATAGAGTATCAGAAAGAAAGTATATATAAACAACACCGCTGTCCCATCTGCGTCAGAGGGTTAAAATGCAAGGAATACTCTCGAATGAGACAAACCTTTAATTTATTATTTTGACTATGCCCTGTAATTTTATGGTACGAAACCTTAAAATTAATTTTAAAGCTATGTTATTTAAATAATTTTACCTTTCCTTTGATCTCAGATGTTTTCTATGGACAGAATTACAGTTGATGTTGCGAAGTTTAGAATCTATATTAAATATAAGAGATAAATCAGTAATGAATTTCCTAATTTAAACATCAGAAAAAGCTACAAAACACTCTTAGAAATAAAACTATCACTTTTGATGATACAGAAATCTTTGAACTGTAATACGTTAATTTTGAGAATGATTTCGTCCCGAAATCACGTGATTTGTGAGGAAACGCAAACTCTCAAATCTATGATGAAAATGTTTCCTCAACTCGAAACCTCACCGTAGTGCATTATGGGGGATTGTTAACTAGAATGACGAAACTGGGATGAAGACTAGACGCTGAAAAATAAAGTCACGAAGAAAGGTGGTCTAAGAGTTGGCCTCGTTACTAGGAAGTTCTCGGGTTCGAACCCTGTCTCTGACATGTGGTTAATTCATCTCTGTTCCCTCTGACCTTCCTTGCGTTGTGTTTGACTACGATCTAGTAATTATTAGCAAAGTTATATGAATTACGCACTGAGAGTTTTTTTTCTGAAAGGGGTATAGAATGACGAAATATTTTTTTAATTTTGACGAATTTCGTTTCCTCGAAGAAGTTACTATAGTTATTTCTTTACTTGCTCGAAGCATATAGCAGGAAACGGTTTCGTCAAAAACAAAGAAAGTTTCGTAAAATTCGAAAATCCATTTTTTACAGTGAACCTTTATATTAAATTCAACTGAAATTATATAAATTTTCAAATTAGTTATACTCGCAGCAAACTTAACTTTTAAGCATTTTATATAGAATAGGTAATGTGATGTTACGTTAGAATAAAGTAAAACACACCTGCAACAGCCCGTTTTAGGACAGGGAGGTTATAGCGCTCCACAATTTCTTGCTCCACGACAAAATTGTGCTAATGTGGTCATGCTTGCGAACAGATCGCTTTTACTTCTCAGACCAGCTTATATCTGAATCTGGGTGGTCTTCAAGCAATCGTGGTTTTCCTCTCCATGCAACGCAAATACGAGCTAGTTTCGTCAAAAAGTTCTCTAAGAAGACACATTTCTCCCAATATTTGATCCAGGAGTTCCCTTGTGCTCTGAATTGGGTTCAAAATTACAAGGCTACGGAGTTGAACATTAGTAGTCCAAAACCCAAAAATTGGATCGGATGCTCAATGATGGTTATAAAATAAAATAAGAGTGAATTTCTAGGCTTTTGAGAATATAATTTCTCTAACGAATCCGAAATTGAGGAATAGAAATTGGTTTTTAAAAAGGTGGGGTTATTAACGGAACCATTAAGAAAGATTTTTATTTGAGTTTTTCGTCACCGTTTATACTGTGGTGACGAGACCATATATGCCTATATTTAAGTATGGATGATTTAGATAGAAAGAACAGGAAAAAAAACCAAAACGCTTCTTTAATATTAATATAAAACGTTACGGGTTAATTCAATAATTTATTAATTTTCCTTCTTAAATTTCCTTATCACGTAAAAATCTGCGCAAAATAAATTTTACCTTTTGGGCTGAAATAGTTCGAATTTTGTTTCTTTTGATTTTCAAACTTTGGGTGCTCGTTATGAGTCAAGGATTTCAGTAAACTGTTGGTTTCATCTATGGCTTGTGATTCTAAATAACAAACAGAAAATAAATAAATAAATCCTCAGTATTACAGGAATACGCACCTTTTAGCATCATATTACATTGAATAAAACTACACGTAATAAAATACAATGTATGTTACTATAATTCTCCCACCCCTTTTGAATTTCAATCAAATTATTTTGCGGAAAAGAAAAAAATTGGTAAGAGGAGCATTTAATTTTTATCCTTTTATCAAGATAACTAAATCAAATCAGTCAACTACTAAATTTTTGAGTAAAATATTTTTATTGAGTTGTAGACAATCAAAATCCAACACTTGTAATATTTGGATTAATTTTGTAATTATTTTAAAAGCTTCATTAAGGAAATCTACCACAAAGTGGGGTTTAAATATAAACTTATAAATCATTCACAGTGATGACAACTGCTCCGGACAAGCTACCATAATGTTGCTCAACGCAAAATGTTTTTATACAATGATTAAATTATTTTACATGATGTATGGGTTAGGGGCCTGCAAATAAAGAAGGAAACTGCTCCGAAAGCGCAAAAATAATTTTTAAAAAAAACGGTAAATAACTACTAAGTAAATTTTGCAAAGATTTGACTTTTTTTACTTGCTTTTTAAAAGGTATAGTATGATATAAGTACTATAAAGTTTTATAAGCAATTAGCATTACATTTTCAGTGGTTTGTAACATATGCTAGCCTCACTGCACCGGAAAAGGTTAAGACAAAAGTGTGCTACCACTAGGAAAAATTTTCCTGAAAAGTGGCATTGTAAGCAGACGTTTTATTCATTTTTAAAAGCAACCCTTTTACCTGCTAAGCACAAAGATCTAAGACAAACAGAACTCAGAGGCAAGGATAAGGGCTGCTTAGCCGCTCCAAGTGCCCAGCTAATGGGCAATACTACTACTACAATTCACTTTTAGCCAACATTTACAACACTTTTAGTTAACTAGCATGCATGTATGTTTTAAACGGTTTGAACCATTCAAATGAAAGGGTAGTTTAAAATCATTTTAAATTAAATCTTTCAAACAAGAATCAAGTTTTGATACCACACAAAATATCAAGATAATTTCTTCTTGGAAGAGTTGGTAAGTACGCAATAATGTATTTGACAAAGTTTTATAATCCTATTTGAACACACAAGCCTGTAAATGTATGTAATTCCAATAAACCAATAATGTATTACAGTAAATGAAACTGTCTTGTTTCTGCAAAATATTGCTAATGATGATTTGAGTAACTAACATTATTCTTNTAGCATGCATGTATGTTTTAAGCGGTTTGAACCATTCAAATGAAAGGGTAGTTTAAAATCATTTTAAATTAAATCTTTCAAACAAGAATCAAGTTTTGATACCACACAAAATATCAAGATAATTTCTTCTTGGAAGAGTTGGTAAGCACGCAATAATGTATTTGACAAAGGTTTATAATCCTATTTGAACACACAAGCCTGTAAATGTACGTAATTCCAATAGACCAATAATGTATTAGAGTAAATGAAACTGTCTTGTTTCTGCAAAATATTGTTAATGATGATTTGAGTAACTAGCATTATTCTTTTTAGAAAAAAGTAAACTTACTTTTAAAGGAACCCTTGGAACTAATTATTTAATATGATTCTTATTAGAGTTTCTGGTTAAGGGGTTACTGTCACTAAACTTAAACTTTTGCAACATAATACCACTTTTCAATAAACGCATCTTCTCCCCTTACCAGTATAAGCTTATTTCTTCATGACTTTTGAGAACGGAACCAACCAGTACAAGATGAATTGGTTGGTGGCGCTACGCGCCAAGTACCGAGGTACCCAACATATCCAGCATCTTCTCACCTTATAAACAGCAGTTTCTTATAAAACATATTTGGATGGAAAATATACCTATACCTATACATAATACATACTTATACATAATATATACCTTTATATAAACTTAAAAAATACTATTAGAATTTTGAAAAATAAACCTTTCTTTAAGTATTTCAGTAGATATTTCTTCTGCAATTCTGATATGGAATTTTTTGTGACAGTTATTCTACTTAAAAATTGAAAACTTGATTTTGGATCTAGAAGAGAGAAAAAAAAACACAATATGTATTTTAATTAATTTGTAAGAATCAAACATTTCTTGTAAAGTATTTAAATGTTGAAAATACGCATAGGTAAAAGACAGACGATGCCAGGCTCAATTAAATGTAACAGTAAGCGCTAAAAATGCAAATATTAAAAATTACTCCTCGTTGTATTATATTTATTATTTGGATGCCATTTTTATAAAATAATTACACGGGATAGTTTCAACAATACAACTCATAATGCAGTGTGTCATCGATGTGCAATGATGATTCCGCCATAATTATTCATTTCATAATTATTTAATATTATCTAAAATTATTAATATCACAAATATGTATTTTAAGAATATTATAATTACACGGGATAGTTTCAACAAAACAACTCATAATGCGAATGTGTCATCCCTGTGCAATGATGATTCTGCTATAGTTAATCATTTCTTAATTATTTAAAATTATCTAAAATTATAAACATTACTACTATGTATTTTTAGAGAGGAAAAGTTTAGAGAGGCAGTTATTTAGTTTCCATAAGAAGAAGAAGGAAAATATTTTTCAAATAGTATCACTCCCATTTTAAGTGTCATTTTCACAATAAAAATTTTCCTGCCTTAATGACTTATAAAAAAAATACTATGCTTAATTATTACATCTTATCAGAAACATAGCAATACTTATAAGCAATTCAGATTGAGCATGTACTGTGTCAATCACACAGTTCTGTAGTAATCGTAGAGTCAAAATATAATGGAGGACACACATTATAATAATTTTATCCTCGATATTGTACCCCGTGAATAAAAGGGAGAATAGAGAAAGAAAATTTACTCCTTCCGTGTCTCCTCGTTATTTCAAGGAAGAAAATCGATGATGGAATTTTAGCACCAAAAATCGTTAAATATGGTGGATTATTGTGTCACATTTGATTGCTCAGATACATTTGTTTAAGGTGGACTTCATACATTTCATTAATTTTCCGTTAAGTAGAAAAAGTAAATTAGTAGCAAATGTAGCAAACAATACTACAAATTGCAAAAAGAACGTCGAATGTAAATGGTCAATAGTAAAGGGTCAATAGAAAGATACAGTATGCAAAACAAAATCTGCCTATTACGTCTGTTTTAGAAAAAAATTAGTTGCTGAAAAATTAAACTCATTTTCTTTTCAAATACTAGCCAATACTTTAAGTTTTGAAAGGTACTATCCTGAAATTTCAGGATGAATAAAACCACAAAAATTTTTCCAACAAAAAAGATATACAAAGCCACGGCAATAAATAATTCTTTTCTAAGTATGATTATCGATTTAAAACTGCACAGTTACCAATATGCTGAATATGTTCCAATTTCAGTAACAAAAAAATTTCTGAATTACAGAACTTAAGCTTGCATAACCTTATTCAGTTTTACAAATTAAGAACTTCATCACGACTTTACTTGGGATGAAGTTATGGAGAGTTGAGAAGTGAAGCTAATGTTATGATTAATGTTATGAAGTTATACTCGGTATAATATTACTCGACATTAGAAATCGACAACTATCTCAGTGCACTGCCGTGAAGCAGCATTTACTGATTTGTCGATTATCAGAAAAATATAATAACCAATTTGTGGAAAAAGTGAAGGAATAAGTATTGGAGGGAAATGTGTCAGGCACTCAAATTTATTAAATCCAGATTTAAACATAGAAACAAAGTTTGCTACCAACAGAAGTAATTTACTCTCAAAGCAGAGTAAGTAGGTATATCTGCAGGGATTCAGAAATGAAATGGTGAAAATGGAAACTCGCATGCTTTTTTATAATAATATTTTAGTCAATGACAATATACACATTATTATACTGAACAACTATCTCAATGGCCGACTGAATTTTTTAAAAAAAAATATTCCAAAAAATTATAATAAGAACGGCAAAATAAATTTTAGAAAAATATGTTATAATGAACTTACTTGGCTGTATTTTCGGCCTTCTTAAAAATTCCTTATGATTCTCCATTATTAAGGCATATCTCACTTTATAGCGATCAATATAATGCCATAAATTATGCCCGTCATCTTCCCTATGTTCTTCATCATAAAACGCTAATGTTGTTCCTAAAGATAGAGCAGATAACACGAATTCCCAATTGGAACAATTTACCTAATATGAAAAAAGAATATTAATTGTAGGTTGAAAAAAAATTGTCGATTAGTTAACAAGATTAGATTTTGATAGTTTTTAAACTCTACTTTGAATTTGTGATTTATCAAAGTATGCAACTACAATATTTCAACAAAGCTTAAAAATTAAAATAAAGGAATCTTATACATTTTAGCTTCCACTTCAAATTCACAACGCAGGTCTGATTTCAAATTTATACAAATATCCGCCTAAATTAAAAGATTGTGTCGTTTGTTATGAAAATCTGTACTTTGAGTCTAATTAGCTAGAACTTCAAGGAAGGAATTTATAAAAACTGATGCCTTTATACAACAGAAGAATATTTTTTTCTAAGAAAGCTTTAAATCATAATTATTTTATTAATTAGTTTTTTTATTTCTCTATAATTTTTGACAAATGGCTATAACTGGATCTCAGCGCTGTTGCGGTGGGGGAAAAAAACCTTTTTTATAAGGTAAAAAAAAGCTGGTGCTTTCATTGCTTTGTCATCTACCTGTATCTCGGTTTTGCAAAAATGCATTAATTAAAATTATGTCTACTGGAGGGCGTATTGAGGTTTATGACGCACGTGTGGCGACGGACAGGATAACCTGTTCAACCTGCCGGGCTATAAAGCACTGTATTATGTTTTTCAAGTGAAGTGCTAATTTTAATAGTCACCACTATTAATTAGTAATTTTTGCTTTGTATTAACCACCACTTCGTACCTTGTTAGTCACCAAAGTGCCTAGCTCGAAGGACAAGACAAGACTTCTTAGCCACATGTAGGCATCTCTAAATTATGGAATCACTTTTATACTCTATGTAAAAAAAAATTCTAGCAGCAATTGATTTGCAAGATTTTCCTTACCATAAATGTTGACACGATTTGAAAGATCATGCTTGAAGCTTTAAGAAACGGTGTCCTTTTTACCCATGCAGAATTTGAGTCGAACAAAATATGCTAACTGCACCGGGCACGCAAATATAATTTTAAAAAAACGGTAAATAGCTACAAATTAAATTTTGCAAATGTTTGACTATTATTGCTTTTTTTTCAAGGGTATAGCATTACTTAAATATCATAAAATGGTGAATTATATAAGCCTACGAATTATTTAGAAATAGTGGTGGATAAAAACCTACTAAATTGAATTTATTAAACGAAGAATCACAATTGATAAACTACCACTTTAAAATCTATATTTGCTGTCCGGAGCAAGCTGGCATCTCTGAAAATGAGGTGAGAAGGGCCATTTAGGCCTCAGATGCCCAGTTCTACAACAACGAATGAACGAACGAACGAAAATGAGGAGAGGGAGTTAAAAACTTCTTTCCAGTTTTAATACAAGCAATTTTTAAATCACTCAATTGGATTGCGATATTAATATTACTATATTAGAGTATTTTAAATTATGCTTGTCTTGTAAAAGGAAAAAAAACTTTCAACTTTATATGCTAATTTTATATAAACTTTCAACTTTTATATATATGCTAAAATTTATATAAACTTTCAACTTTTTATGCAAAGTTTGTATAGGTAAAAATGCTTGCAAACTTTCTTCGCTTTTGGGGAAAAAAATTTTAGTGGTAGCTAAGGTATAATTCCCTGTTTTTAAATTTGATTCAAAAATATCTCCTACACAACTGCATGTAAATGATTCAAAAGTTCATATGAAACTTTATTTTGTTCCAGTTCAGTCGTGGGGAGGCTTTTAAAATGTTCTGAAGGCTTTAATTTTTAATTGTCTTAAAAGTAGCTTGCCCGTCTGGCAAATGGTAAATAACGTTTGGCAAACTGAGTTAGCAACCATTAGAAGGATTTTACTAGTGAATTATTAAACCAAGAATAATAATTAATAGACTACCACTTGAAAATATTTATTCGCTGTCCGGAGCAAGTTGGCATCTCTGTGTATATAAAAAAAAACTATTTTTGTGTGCTCCATATTGCATTAATTTTTTCAAACCATTTTAATAACGATAATAACATAAAAATATTAAAAATTTACTCAAATTATGTGTTTTTTATAATCTTGGCTTCGCCGGTCACCGGTGACCCCCATGGCATTCAACGTGTTAATATTTTTTCTGAGACTCATTTGAAATCCTGGGCGTAACTCATCATGCCATAGTACGACTAAAAAGAAGGAATTAAAAAGAATATACCAAAAAGATTTCAAAGAAAATTTGAGTCATAGAATATTATTCACCTGAACTGGAAATAGTGTAATAACTGGCGAATTTTGCTCTGGTTGAAATGATTGCTGAAGTATAAGAAAATATGAAGGTATAGTAGTTAATGCCTGAAATTTCGTTTCTTCTTCCTCAATATTTGTTGCCATGCCTGTCTTCTTGGATATTTGGGAAGTCTGGCAATAGCTATGAAATAACAATTATAATGTTTACTAGAAAAATATGATACATCAATCCTATCTACCGAATATTGTCCAAAATGCTAAGTAATATATTTTATGATACGTTCGTAATCATAATGTATTGAAGGGAGAATAGGCCATAACATTGAGCTTTATTTTTTCTTTTATGATGCAAAACTAAATTTTTGCGTATCAGTCATGAATAAACAAGACACTTGTTGTACTAAGTTTTAAAAAAATTAATTTCTTTTTGAAAAATGAAGGAGATATTGGTGTAAGTTTTTAATTACATTTAATTAAAACAGAAATCTCTAACACTAAATTCATAAAAATAGTTTAAAACTTAAGGGGAAAAAATTTATAGCAAATGAGATTCAACAAATGAGATTTATTTTTAGAAAAGCCTGATTTTGGACTTACCCAAAACTGCCATGGTTGATTAGACCCATATAAAAAATTGATGTCATTCCAAAGTAAATCGTTTTTTAATTGATGAATTTTTGTTGAAAATACAATATGTAATAGTGAGTTTATATTTTTTTTAATTATTGCAATGACTATATTACAGTATTTGTAATCAGCATGCAAAGTGCGGCCAAAAAGTAAACAGACCACCCTGACTAACTTTTGATCTAATGATCGGATCTTCACGTTCTTGGACTTATTCTTAATGGTTTGAGGGGGTGACCTCAAATATGCTAATGAATAAGTGTAGACGATATATTAAGTTACGAAATAAGACACAAAAACGTACTTTCTCAGAATAAACACACCATTTTCTCGACGGATTCGGATTTTTGACCCCCAAAGTATAGCGGGTAACCACAATCTGGGAAATGTTAATTTTTCTTTTTGTGTATTTCACCATATCTCGAGAAGTTCTTGAGCGAATTGAAAAATTTTTGTACGCAATTCTAAATAATAATTTTTATTATTATTTCATTTGATAATAGTCCAAAAGATTTTGAATTGTAAGGTATACGACTTTTCGTATAATTTCAATGTATGTAAATGAACATGGCGAAGTACAAAATCGGTCAAATAGTTCCCGAGAAATTGAATTTTAAAGAAGTCGGATATATAAAATGCAATTTCTCAGAAACTATTCCACCGACTTCGCTCAGATTTTAAGATTTCGCCATATAAATTTACACTTTTCAAAATCCCAAAAAAACTATATACCTTACAATAAAAATTTTTTGAACCTTTATTGAATAAAATAATTTAAAAAAAATAAATGAAAAAAAATATTTGACAAAATTTATTTTTGCATGGAATTACTGTTGGATAAACGAATTTTATAATTGTGCACACAAATTTTTCAATTCGCTTAAAAAGTTCTCGAGATATAAGGAAAAAATCCGAAAAGTCAAATTAACATTACGGGGTCCAAGCTTTGAAGCTCTATCCTAATCAAACTATTGGGACCGTATTTCCTAGACTGCGGCTACATCCCATATTTTGGGAGTTAGAAATCCGAATCCGTAGAATGAATGTTATGTTTATTCAGAAAAAGTATGTTTTTGTGTCTGATTTCGTAACATAAAAAAATCGTCTTCACTTATTAATTAACATATTTCAGGTTACCCCCCCCCTCGACCCGTTAAGGTTGAGTTCTAAGACGTGAAAATCTGATCATTACCTCAGTGTAAACCATTTTTTTTGGCGCTTTGTACATGATTTCAAACGCGATAACATATTTTTAATTAAATAAGAGCTCAACTGTGCTGACATCGAATCTCCGATACCACTTATTTTAACGGAAACTGTTCTGTGACTTTCTTAAAAAGTAGTCCCCGATTTTTGTTCGACAAAACAACTTTCCAAAGTTTGTAGCTTTACAAAATCAAAAACAGAAAATATCTGTGTCTGAAAATATCTTTTACTTTTCTTTTCTTATATATAATTGTAAAACAATAATGTAGTAATATCTAAGCTATAGTGATATCGTAAGTGCAAATTTCGTTTTCCAAGTTGAATCACTTTTAAAAACAACTCGTATTAGTAATAATCACTAACCACTTAGCTGGCAAAGATAAAATATTGTCCGTATGAAAGCAGCTTCCTTAGAGTTTTTTTTCCGGGATATTAACCACATGAGTGTTCAACTTTTTTTTTCTTGAATGTAAAGTATATATTGACTAAACATACGATATAACAAAGAGGGATAGTAACATACAATTTACTTAACTTGAGTAAAAGATAGATTTGAAATATTCTTATAACTAGTTCTTCAATTTTCTCGGGTCAGCAATAAAGCTAAAATAGTTTTAATTATGATTAAATAATTTATAGCAATAAAATAGCGGGTGTTATTTATTCTCTCTGTCAACTTTCTTTTTCTTGTTTTACAAATTGTATAGAGCGTGGAAAAACCTTTTTATAAATAAACAAATGTGTGATATAATTAAAATAATAACTCAAAAGCCGTCTTACCTGCTATTCATATCTGCTATTATATTTCCTATCGTAGATTCCGTAGCAGCTTGCTTTAAAAAAGGAACACCTGGAAGAAGTGATCAAATCGAGATATTTGTAATCCTAGGAGTGATATTTTAAAAACACGATTTATGAAGCAAAAATTTATCGGCGAGTAAAAATTTGAAACATCTGTCACAGGCGAATAAAAAATAAAAAAGTTGAAGCAAGATTATAATTTTATTTGTAGTATTATACACCGAAGAGCGATTACATTATGACCACCCTCCATCTATAACAATGGGCTCACCCAAGTTTTGATGGTTTCTCGCCCAGGAACAATGTTTTCATGGGTCACATTAGGATCCATAATCCTCATAGAACAATCCCTGACGTCTGTAAGCTACTTGAACATAGTTGCAGACCAGGTTCACCCATTCATGGCAACAGTTTTTCCTGCGGGGGATGGTGTTTACCAACAGAATAATGCACCATGTCATAAGGGTCGAATCGTCATGGATTGGTTCGAGGAACATTCCAGTGACTTTCAAGTCATGTCTTGGCCCCCAAATTCAGCTGACCTTAATCCAATAGAGCTTTTGTAGTCCTACTTAGAAAACCAAATTCGTGCTGCCACGCTACTCCCTCGCAATGTGAGGGAATTGCAGGACCAGTTGGTGAGCGCTTGGTACCAGATACCTCAGACTACCTATCAGCACCTTATAGAATCAATACCACGGCTGGTGCTAGCAGTTTTGAGGGCTAAAGGTGGTCCTACCTGTTATTAGCAGGGTGGTCATAATGTAATGTCTCTTCGGTGTACATGGAATCTGACTATAATATATATACAGTGCACCAAAAAAACAGACCACTCTAAATAACTTTTGATCTAATGATTAAATGTTCACGTTCTAGGACTCTATATTAATGGCTCGAGGGGGTGATCTCAAATATGGTGATTAATAAGTGCAAACGATGTTTTAAGTTACGAAATTAGTCACAAAAACTTATTTTCTCTAAATAAACCTACCTTTTTTCGACGGGTTCAGATTTCTGACCTCCAAAATTTAGGGGGTAGCCGCAATCTGGGAAATATAGGCCTGAGAAGTTCCTATAAATAGTTCCTGACTAGTAAGAAGGAAAAATCGTTCCTGAGAAATCGAATTGTAAAGAAGTATATTTAATATTCGATATCTCAGAAACATACTTCAGAATTTACATACTAATTTAAAATGACGAAGGAAAAAAAATGTATACCTCACAGTTCAAAATTTTTCGATTAATTTTAAATAAAATAATAAACATTTGCGCAATTTTAGTTTCGCCTGAAATAATTTTTGTATAAGCGAATTTCATAATTGCATACAAAATATTTCAATTCTGGGGTTCAGAAATCCTAATTCGTTGAAAAAAGGGTATGTTTTTTTTCAGAGAAAGTATGTTTTGTGCCTGATTTCTAAACTTAAAATATCGTATGCACTAATTAGTTCGTATATTTGAGGTTACCCCTTCAAACCATTAAGAGTAGGTCCTAGAATGTAAAAATTCGATCATTAGATCAAAAGTCATTCGTTTTTTCTTTGTGCACTGCAAATATATGTATATTATGCTAAATTGTAAAGTAACTATCAAGATTAAAAATATCTCCTTAATCTGCACATACTGGTGTTTTTGTAAATTCAAATTCGATGTTATTTTTATTCGTTCGTTCGTTGTAGTGGAACTGGGCGTCTGAGGCCCTTTTCCCATTCATCCTGAAATTAGACTAAGAAACATACATGACAAAAATAAAGTTTGGGGAGCAAAATGGATGTATTTTAATACATTTTATGTTGTTTCTTAAAAACAAAAACTTTTGCTGCTATATTCAATTCTACGAATTTAATTTATTCTAACACACTGCATACTGTCAACTTTTCCGAATAACGCAATACAGCTGTTTGCAACATAAATATTATTTAAACATGATGAAACTCTCTTATTTTACGGGGGGAGGGGAAGCAATAGTTTCTATTCAATAGAATTTGTTTTTCTCATTTCACACGATTTAAGAAAGCAAACAAAACGATGTCTGCGCGACGTCGTTTCAAAAGTTGGCGATGTTGACATACGTACGTACTCGCAGCTTGGCATCACTCTGGCGTGCACTTAGATGTCAACAGGCTCTCTTTATGGGGATAATGTTTTCTTTTTTTTTAATTTGAAACAGAATTTAGCTATTCTTCTTTTTCCGTTCACCCCTGAATATAACCTAAGAAGTCGGATATATTGAATTGTAACGAAAATAATTCTTACCTTTTAGAACATTTAGAATAGTTCTTGAATCGTTGTTTCCATTGGGCGGAAAATGACTCGTCACAATATATATCTTTGATTTCATTTCTGGCCACATATAAAGCTAACTAAAATAATAAAAAAAATCTATGAATTTTTTTAAACAATTTTCTTTTAATAATTAAAGGCCAAACGTTTCCTTTAACATGTTTCAAAAAGAGACTAGCTACTCAACTAACTTATTCTTTAAATTCATATCGAACAAACGAAATATTCGTTACCACCTACCGTCTTTTTACAGACTTCAACACTGATGTTCGAAAAATTTAATAATGGTTATAAGAAGGAGGCACACTCCGATTATTTGTGACCACTAATTCATGTTATTTTGTGAGAGAGAAAAAATATTTCGGTATGAAGATTCAGCGTCATGACCTCAAAAAGTTAAAATGGTATTTTAAAAAAGGGGAATTACTAATTGCATTAAAGTGCTTAGCAATTACTATACATAACAACTAAGTGCATAGCAATTACTATAGCATTTAGAACCTGAAGCCCATTTGAAACCTAGCCCATTTGAAACCTGTTTTAAAAGAACGGTTCCTATTTCAAAGAAAGTAAGAAATGCTAGCATAAGGATTTCGTTATTATAAACCCACGTTGAACAGCCGGCACAACTATGAGTTGACGACTATCGATGTTTAACCCAGTAACCTGGTAATTTTAAATCAGACCTGGAAAACAAGAGAATTCCTGTTTCAAACATTGGGACAAAATAGCCTTTGTGAAGGACTTTTTGATGGAACTAACCTGCATTTATGTTACAGGGAGAGGGAAACCACCAAAACCTCCCACGGAAGGCCGAGAACTCTAACCCATGATCCGTCTACCTTGGAGGATATTTTACGTCAGCACTATGGTCGGTGCGAGCCGGGTGCAGAATTCGTATCAAACCAGTCTTCGCTGGGATTCGAGCCTGAAATATTTCATTGGAAAGCGAGCACTCTATCCCCTGAGCCATCGCCGCTCTTGTGTTTCGTTATTACAGGGCTATCACAGGTGACTAAAATTGTACGAAGTGTTAAAAACACTTCATTCATTTTTGTTTATTTAATTTACGTAATTATTGAATGGTAACTACCACCATGACATGCATTGTAAATTACTTATTTTTAAAGCAAAAAAATTCTTTGCAAGCACCTTCAATAATAAACTGAAAGAAATGTGCTGGAAAAAAGTTGCTAGTTTTAATCTCTTTTAATAGATATTTCCTTTTTATTAAACTTCCCTTTTCTCATTTTTAGTCGCCTGTGGCACCCCGGGTTATGTGTGCTTCGTCGCTCAGTAAATTTAATTTAAAGTATTCTTTTTTTACCACTATATGATTATAATTCAACAGTTTATAAAAAGAAGTCGCTTATTTTTCACATTTCTCGTAGTGAAACTTTAATAACGTTAACAAAATAAACTAAAATTCAGAACACTGTCGTTTTGTCCACCACTCTATAAAATATTTTGCAAATAGCATAATAGTTGACAACCCTGTATTCACGATCTACGGTAGCAGTTGGTATTGTGCTGTTTGTCTAAAAAATGTTTTAACTCACTCAACTTTAACTAGCGAGCCTGCTTGGAAATCAAGCGAATTTTTAAGGCAAAAGGTGCGTTTTTTGTTTCTTCATCGGCACCGTCTATGTCCAAGAATACGACTTCAGTCACACACATACTTCACAGCCAGTTTTATAATGAGACCTCCATTCATTCATCCATATATCGTGATTTTGATATGAACCAGAGAACGATCAATCACCAATACAGAAGCATTGATTTTTTTAAAAATGGAAACCTGGAGGACTTTGTGATCCCTACTGGTTTAACGTGCACCAGTCACCATTTAGTACACGTGTATTCTTCGGCCGGTGGGATTCAAACTCACGTTCTCACAGACTCGAGCCTTACGTCCTACCAGAAAGGTTGTTTTTTTCAATTTTAGGAATTTAATGGGACAGTTTCTTTAGTTTTTTTTTTCGATTTACAACCAGGAAATAATAGTTCTCGTGTGGATATATTTTTCTAAAAAAATAACATACAGAGGTAATACTACCATTTAATATGGTATTCTTGTAGCTTCAATTTTTTTTTCTAGAGGTAGTAAAAGTTATAAGACACTGTTCCTATAATTTAGAATTAAAGGATTTTGCCCTGCAAGACAGTTAAATTGATTAAACTTATGTATAAAAGATCAAATAGACAAATTTTCATGTTCTTAAGCTCCTCTAAAAAGTCTACAAAAAAATTATTTATTTCAAAAATTTCCGTTCCAGTTTATGACTAATTAAAGAAATATTTCACTAAAACATCAAATGCTGAGGACAAACAGAGATAATCACAAAAGCAATGTAATATATTCTCCAGATCAGTCTCATTTTCTTTACAACAATTACATTTTTATAACACTTGAGAGAGCCCTATTAGATTTTCATATTCTATTCTTTTAAATATCGAAAAAATCTATATATCGTGATGAATTCGAGATGCCGACTGGCTGACCTCAAGTCAGAAAGTTCCCGAGTTCGAATCCCGGATAAGGCATGAATGTTCTTTTCATTTCTTCTCTGTACTATCTATCCTTCTTAGTGTGGGAGCAACGTTGGTCCACCTACTATGATGCCTCTGATAGAGTGGCCAACAAATCTGTTTGCTCCTGTAGATACCCAAATGACAAAAAGTCGATTCCGGATGGGCATTTGAGAAGAAAAAATCAACTCGAAGTTTATAGCAATTTTTATGTGTTTCCCAATCAATAGATAGCATTCTCCTTAAAAATTCTTACCTCATAAACTGAAAGTTCCAAGTGAAACTCAATAATATTCTGTCAATCATCAGAGAAATAATGGCAGAGGCGTCCGAAGGAGTATCCTCGGTGCTGTTTTCTATACAACTTACACCTACGATTTCCCGAACGAAGACACATCAAATGACTACCTACTGTGCTGATGACACAGAAATTATATCTAAATTCCAGATGCGCAAATAAATCTATCAAAGATCTTAACCAAAGTTGTCGAGTCATTGAAAAATGCTGTGATCTTTAGAAAATTAAGATAAGTGTTGAAAAATCACTGTTATTAATTATTAGGAACCATAAGACGATTTCTTAGAAGGAAGCAAAAAAACCTATCACGCAAAATATCAAGATTCTCAACAAGATTGTACCGAGAATAAAGCAACAAAAATATTTAGGTGTGATTTTTAATGATAAATTAATTTAGAGAGAACGTGTTTCCTGAACGTGTAAACAAAGTACATTCTTCGCGTTAAAACATCTCATCAGAGTTTACTTAAATCTTTCACTCTCTAACAAGGGACTCAGTTGTTTGATATGTTTACGACCGATCCTTACTTACGACTCAACTGCCTTGGGCACTGCCCACAAAACTTTCATTAAAAATTACACACTTGTGAAAACAAATTTCCGAGGAAGATTACTGGTGCATCCTTGTGCATAAGAAATAAGGAATCTACACAAGGATTCAAAAACAAAAAAAAAGAACTTACTTTGACGAAAGAAAGGCCAAATTTTATTAGAAAGCACTGGATGGCGACACTGCAAATTTTAGCTGCATCTTTAGTATAGAATTAATTACTGGTAACATCAGATACAGCCTTGCTATTAGCTTTTTACTATCCCACGGCCCACTTTCGTATAATTTTTGTACAAAATTTACATATTCATTGCTCTATTTTTGTATAATTTTTATATGCTTTGACGAGTCAATCCTCTGTGCATCAATGAAGTCCAATGAGAAGGAGGATGTCGAATTTTAACTTAGTTTTTATTTATAACCCATACTTTTTGCGACTGCATATTCATACCTGCTAACTTTAATTCGCCTTGAAGATGATTTTTCTGAGTGCTATTTATATGACAACAAAATGAACAATTCACAGGCAGAAATCTTTTTACATTATTCTAGAGCATAAACCGCACTATAGACTAAACTGAACTGAATTTTTAAGTTGGGCAACTCGGTCCACTTTCGGCAATTTTCCCATTCATCATAAAAATACAAGCAATGTGTAAAAACCAATCTGTTAATTTCAGAACCTGTTACAGTACAAAGGAGGCATTACAATTATCACCATACAATATGACAAATAAAGTAATAAATAATGTAAAGTTTTTTGTCTTAAAAGTTCACATTGTTATTAAAAACAAGTTATTTGAAGAATGTCTCTATGTCCATAATATATCCTCTAGTTGAATAGTAGATGAAGAACAAAATAATGATTATTATGCATTAATATGCATACATAACTAATTTTATTATGTGGGAGTTAAAATTATTTTAAATTATATTTATAAAGCCAATAATTAAATTAAATTAGAGGCATAAGATCTCTGCTATCATTTTAAATATAAAAATAAAATCTTCCGGAAAAACCGGAAGAGTTAGCAGTTATGTAAATTGATTTTCATTGTTTTTTTTCTACTTCTTATTCTTATTTGTATCGAATTTTTCTCTCGTTGCCATATTTCATTCAATACAAGATAAAATAGGAAGGTGCCAAAAGGCAGATTCCTAGTAAATATTCATTTAAAACAACTTCGCAACATTCAGATTAAAGCAGTAATGAAATAACTAATATGTTATGTCTTTCAAAAAGAAAAAAAATAATTCGAAGAATTTCACCGTTACATTTTCAATAAGAATCTTGTTATACACTAGGGTAAAATTTATCAAAACATGTAAATAAATTCTCTTACAACAAGTAAAACTCTTACCTTATCTTCCAAAAAGATCCAATTAATCCGAATTTGGCCAGTTGCAGACAGAAACTGGACAAACCTTGTGATTGCTTATATATTATATCTACAATTTGTGAATGGGCAGATATGCAGGTAACAATAAGGAAAAAGGGGTGATAATACGGCCCCTTGCTGATAAGGTTAGTGAAGGTGAATAGAAATACGTGACCTAAAACAGGGAGGACTCTAAAAAGTTAAATGTTTTGGGCTACACCACTGCATGTAAATAAATCAGATATTTATAATATGAATGCAAGTTCGAACGGGCCCAAACAAATTGGATTAACATTAAATTGGTATTTCCACTCAGATAAATTTAAACTTTTATTTTTAGCAAGAAATCATTTTAATTACCATTGAGGATATTCTACATCATCACTACGGGAGGTGGGAGCCAGGAGTAGGATTCGTATCAACCAGTCACCGCTGGTATTCGAAACTGCTTTACCTCAATGGAAGGCGAACACTCTATCCTCAGTGCAACCGTAGCTCTATTATTATAACTCTTAGCAAATAATGGTACTTACGAAACGTCATTCAAGTAGAAAAAAAAACCATTAATTAACCCCTTGGTGACGGGTGATTCAGAAAAGCATTCGTACTAAATCAGAATCAGGATGTAATTAAATAAAAAACGGTAACTAACGGCTAATTTGACAGACTTACTTTGCTTTTACTTTAATTATTGTTAGTTTAATCATATATATAATCAATGTTAATTGAAAGTATAACTAATAACTTTATTTTGAACAAAGTAATGGTGAATTAAATAAATCAAACAATTATAACTCCGCCCACAAATAAACTGCTGAAGAATTACTATGATTACCAGTTTTATTTTTTTATCCTGGTCGATACGGTTTCATACTGGCACGTATTTGTGACAGTCGGCGTGAAAGGGTTAATAAAAATGAAAGAAACGTTTTTGTATTTTACTATCGACCTTCAATTAAATTTTTATTTGCTAAAATGCAACTTTAACGGTACAAAGGGTAACCTCTAAATATGGTAATTATTTAGTGCTGACTGTATATTATATTAAATTACGAGGTAAAATACAAAACGGTCTTCACCCATATATAAAAATGCATTTCCCCCTCATTTATTTATTTTACAACTTCTAGGCTTATAGTACTTGTTCAATTGTACGTCATTTGCGAAAGATTTTTTTAGAGTTTTTTTTAATAATTGAAGAAAAATGTTTCAATAATAATTTAAGCAATAGTAAAACTATCCATAGTTTAAATTTAATAATGAAACAAAAAGCCCGAACGCCTAAGAATACATTATAAGTCTCAAAATCTGAATTATATATTTGTGATGAATCAGTTCCAATTTTTTTAGAACAAAAATAATAGCTGAAAGAAGATTTTCACTTAGTTTAAACATGATTAAGCACATTGAGTGAATATTTAGCTCGTGAAATCGTGTAAGCTCTGTTTTAACCCTTTGACGCAGAATTTTTATTAAACAAATGTTTCATATATTTTTTCATTACTTTTATTAACTCAAAATAAATTAAAAATATTATAGTTAGCACTTTAATAATTTATGGTTAGAAAATACAGCAAGAAACACAGATGTCTTTTTCTGTTTTAAAGATAAATTCTTCCCAACCCGGCTCACTGCAAACAATAGTTTTTCAAATTTGCACTTATTTGCAGCTATTTAGATCTAAGAGAAAAAGTCATTCATAATTGAAATTTTTTTAATTTACAAAGTCTATTATTGATACATTTTTGAATATGAATGAAAAATACTTATTTTAACTACTTTTAAGGAATACCAAAATAAATTTTTGCTTGAAATTAGTGGGTCTGAAAAAATTATTAAAAGGGACATCTGTGTGTGCGTCAAAGTTTTAAAGGATTAAGCGTGATACGAAAGAAAACATATTTAACACGTTGAATGCCACGCTAATTTTACATGGCTTGCCCGCCTGGCCAAAGTTTTTTTTAAAAGATTTAGCATGCCATATCAGAAAAAGTGGTGAATTATATAAGCCTGCGAATTGTTTAGAATAATAGTGGATAAAAATCTACTAAATTGAATTTATTAAACCAAGAATCACGATTAATAAACTACCACTTGAAAATATTTATTCACTGTCTGAAATAAGTAGGCATCTATATATTACAACTAGTGGGAAATATTGAACTATCACATTTGATGTTTATGTATCAGAATATGAAAATGTTAAAACTTCTGATGTTGGTTAAAAAAATTATTTCAAAAACTGAAAAGTAAAATGACACAGATAAATATGGTGAAATGGAACCACAACTACCACTAACATTTGCAGAGGGCCATGAAGCCTTTGAAACAATGAGAAATTTTCTGTTTTCATCTTAATTTATAAAAAAAAGAAGAGGAATCTGTTAAGAATGTCGAATATTTATTTTTTGCATTGAAAAGATTGAATTCAAACAAAAATTTCAACATATATTAAATATATAAATGTTCTTATTCATCTTTTTTTTTATTGCCTCCTAAATATTTTTCTATTAAGTACTTAATCTTTTCCTTTAAAATATTTTATACTTGTTGTAAGCATATTAAGTTTCAAGTTCATTACTTCATTATTACTTTCTATGCCTTTGCAAATCAATATTTAGAATTTTATGATAACCCAAACGGGTCATTATATAAATGTATATAAATATATGTATATAAATAAAACTATTTTTGTGTGTTCTATATTGCATGAATTTCTTCAAACCATTTTAGTCACGATAATAATATTAAAAAAAAATTTAAAATTTACTCAATTATGTGTTTCTAATAATCTTGGCTTCGCCGGTCACCGGTGACCCCCATGGCATTCAACGTGCTAAGGAGCGTGGCCCTGGAAAATGAAATGGTTATTATACATTATACAGATTGTTTCGAAACTTATGGGCATAAATTTGAAGGGTGATAGAAAACAATTTTACATGCAATATTCACCATAAAATACAAGCTATAGCACTGTAATAGAAAGCATAAAGCGCGAGTTTTTTTTTTTTTAACATCGTTCTGCTGTGTATTTGTGAAGGCATGTCTACATACTGTAATCAGAAAAATGGGGTATACATACCTGCCTACTTATAACCCTTTCGAAGATGATTTTCCCCAGTGGTAGTAAAATGGTATTTAAACTACAATTTTAGGCAGAAACCTACACTGTGTTTTGAAAAAGCTTATGCGGACTACCACGACAGTATTACATACTAATATATATACTTATTTTTTTTTAAAATTGTGGTGGTCAAAAAGATAATAAATGAAGTTTATAAATGCAAGGAATTCATAGTAAGCATACATTTTACTACCACTTTAAATATAGAAATTAAATTTTACGCCAAATGCGTAAAAGTTGGCAGGTATGGGTATAGAATGGGAGTGCTCTGTTTAGGTAAAACTGCTCTGGGAGATCTTAATCTTCCAACCATGGTCATATATCTAGTTCAATTTTTAGGGCTCTACCTTTTAACAGCCATGGTAGAAATGGCACGTAAGTTTGACCCTGGCTACATGACGTGAACACCGCCTGAACTGGTACCCCTCTCTCCGAACTCCCACACCACAACCAACGGAAGAATTTTCAACCACGACAGATTTAACCTGTAGCTTGCTTATACACGTTGATTGTTTTGTCGGCTGTCAGGATTGAACTCGCTACCTCCAGCTAGCAATGGGGTTAATTTAAAACAATTCAGGACCTTAAGTTTTCAAAATGGCAAAACTGAGCTTTTTTTTCTTTCTCTGAAACAAAAAATGTATAAAATGAAGATTGTAAGAAAAGATGCGTACTGATGGATTCAGACTAAAACAACAGACATCAACTCCAATTAAGACAATTAAGAAGGAAAAAAAAGAGTGCTAATTTAAGTATTGTAAGAGAAAAAAAATACTCACCTCCAAAAGTGAGTCAAAATTTAAAAATACCGTGTTTAAGGTATTTCAAATAGAATACAAATCCAACGAAAGAAAATAGTCAAAGAATTCTTACTCACATACTTTACTAACAACAAATACTATTTCTTAAGATTCATAACTGACTTTTCTATCAGCAGGGAAAAAAAAGAACAAATCTTAATTTTAAATGATGACTTTACATAAGTGGTAATCGTCATTTTCGACGGATAAGGAAGAAAAATTTCATTTTCTAATTGCTTAAAATTAAGTCAAGTGATTCGACATTAAAAATATATAATTTTCATATATAAGAAATTTAAAGTATACTTAATATTTCTAGACATCAACATTTAAAATCAATGCCTTATGAATACTATCATATGATCCCACTAAAAACATTTACAGTTTAGTTTTTTATAGATATTTAGATAATAAGGCAATTCAAGGGTATAGTTTGAAAGAATAGAAAATTTCATTTAAAATATCTTAATTTCTTGAAAAAAATTTTTAATGTTATAGGCCACATTTTTATCTTAAGATGTTTCAATTTGCGACAATTAGAAACGTGCCCCAACTAATAGGAGAAATAAAACTCAAAACTACATTCACGTTCAAATCATTAATAATACTGGAGAACAATTCGTTTGTTGAATTTATTCTAATGTTTGATCTTCCCAAATTCGAATATGGGGGTTTCAAATCTGAAATTAGTTTTGTTTGGAAAGCAGTAAGCTTTTTAAATGTTATTTTTTAATTTAGTTTATTTATTTATTTGTTTTTTTGTCTGAAACAAGAGACTGATGAACGTATTCGTATTGGTTTAACTATACACCATACATTTATAATCGTCGGTGAACAGCCTACCCGATTCTTTCTTTGGGTTTACGATTACTAATGTTCAACTCCGTAGCCTTGTAATTTTGAATCTAATCCAGAAAACAAGGAAATTTCAAAAACAAGTATTGGGAGAAATTTGCCTTCGTGTTGGAGCCAACCTGCACGGAGAGGAAAACCATAAAAACCTCGCGCGGTTAGCCTGACGGCAAAAGGACTCCAACCGTTCCATCTACCATTGAGGGTATTTTACATCAGCGCTTTGGTCGGTGCAAGCCGGAAGCGGAATTCGTATCAACCAGCCATCGCCGAGATTCGAACGCTCCATTCCTTGTACCATGACGACTCGCACTATACGTTTACACTTGTCTGCTTGTTTGAAAATAGGTCTTAAAAATAAAAAAAAGACATTCTACTACATTTAAAAGACTACATTCACGTATCGCATAATAAACTGAATAGCATTATCGCCTAATTCCTATCACTCGTTGCGTAGCAGACAATTGGGGCAGTCACCATTCACACGAGTGAATTTAAAAAAAAAAAATCCTAGTTAGGAATATAGCAT